GACACAGGATTTTCCTTCCCTGAAACCGTGCTGGTTGTCAATTATACACTTGTTTCTTTCCAGGTGCCCCACCACTCTCCTCCTGATGATCTTCTCCATGACCTTGCATACTATTTCACGTTAGAGATACAGGTCTGTAGTTTAGTGCCCCATGTCTGTCTCCCTTTTTAAAAATTGGGACTACATTGCCATTTTCCATACCTCAGGGGTTGCCCAGTTTCAAATGATGTGTTGAAGATCTTTGTTAATGGCTCACACAATATCTCTGCTCCCTTTTAAGGACCATGGAGAGATGTTGTCTGGTCCCACCGCCTTTGAGGTGTCAAGTTCGCATAGCAGCTTCTTCACCTCCTCCTTGGTTATATGTACCTCATCCAGCACTTGCTGGTGTGCCCCCCTGTTCTGATTTCTTGGAGTCCTACTGGTTTCCACTGTAAATACCTCTTTAAATCTCGTGTTGAGCTCCTGACATAAACCCCTCGGTCGTTTCTTGTGAATTCCCCATCACCCTTCCTCAGTCTGATTACCTGGTCCTTGACTATTGTTTTCCTCCTGATGTGGCTGTAAAAACAGCTTTTGGGTCAGTCTTTACTTTTGAAAGCTATGTCATTTTCATATTGTCTCTGAGCCTCCCTTCTTATCTGTGCATATTCGTTTCTGGCTCTTCGGCTGATTTCTTTATTTTCCTGAGTTCTCTGTCTTCTGTACCTTTTCCATTCTCTAGTACACCTAGTTTTTGCCTCCCTACACCTTTGGGTGAACCAAGGACTCGTTCTGTTCTTCCCATTATTTCTGTTTCCCTTGGAACAAACCTCTCCTCTGCCTCCTTGCATTTTGTTGCTACATAGTCCATCATTTCTTGTACTGGTTTTTTCCCGCGTTCCCTCTCCCACTAAATGTCTTGAAGGAAGTTCCCATGCCTGAGTATTTCCCCCCTTTTGTTTTTTGGGTTTTTCCCACCCTTTTCCCCTGCTACTCTCTCCACTTGGGCTCAACTATGTAGTCGAAGCACAAAACCCACTGATCACTAGCCCCCGGGGGCCTTTCTACATGTACCTCGATGTCCGAACTATCATGGTAAATACAGGTCCAACCTTGCTGGTTCATCCCTCTCCTCTCTCTCTGGTAGTGTCCTTTACATGTTGATGCAGAGGTTTCCAGTCCCAATCCATCTTTGGCTCTCCAGTTTCGGGACCCCCATGGGGCTCCAGGTTTTCCCAGGAAATTTCCCCTTGTGATTGAAATCCCCCAAAACTAGTACTTTGCTCCCCCCTGTGTGTTCCTGGCCACCCGGTGTGTGTTGATCATTGCCTGTTCTCTCATGTTTCTTTCCTTGGCCTCCTGGTTCTGTGGTGGGTTGAAACTTTACTTCAATTTCACCTTATGTCCCTCAGATGGTTTGTTCTCTAAATAGTCCCCCTTTTGCCCATGCCATCCATCTTCCATTTTTTCAAAAACCCCAGGTTTTAATGAGCGGCAATCCCCCTCCCCTCTCCCCCCCTCTGTCTTTCTGAAGTGTGTGTGTGTGTGTGTGTGGGGGTGTGTGTGTGTGTGTGTGTGTGTGTGTGTGTGTGTGTGTGTGTGTGTGTGTGTGTGTGTGTGTGTGTGCACCCACCTAGTTGTACTCACCTAGTTGAGGTTGCGGGGATCGAGTCCGAGCTCCTGGCCCAGCCTCTTCACTGATCGCTACTAGGTCACTCTCCCTGAACCGTGAGCTTTATCATACCTCTGCTTAAAGCTATGTATGGATCCTGCCTCCACTACATCGCTTCCCAAACTATTCCACTTACTGACTACTCTGTGGCTGAAGAAATACTTCCTAACATCCCTGTGATTCATCTGTGACTTCAAATTCCAACTGTGTCCCCTTGTTACTGTGTCCAATCTCTGAAACATCCTGTCTTTGTCCACCTTGTCAATTCCTCTCAGTATTTTGTATGTCGTTATCATGTCCCCCTATCTCTCCTGTCCTCCAGTGTCGTCAGGTTGATTTCCCTTAACCTCTCCTCGTAGGACATACCTATTACCTCTGGGTAATAGGTAAGTGCAAACCTTTGCACTTTCTCTAGTTTCTTTACGTGCTTGGCTAGGTGTGGGTTCCAAACTGGTGCCGCATACTCCAATATGGGCCTAACGTACACGGTGTACAGGGTCCTGAACGATTCCTTATTAAGATGTCGGAATGCTGTTCTGAGGTTTGCTAGGCGCCCATATGCTGCAGCAGTTATTTGGTTGATGTGCGCCTCAGGAGATGTACCTGGTGTTATACTCACCCCAAGATCTTTTTCCTTGAGTGAGGTTTGTAGTCTCTGGCCCCCTAGACTGTACTCCGTCTGCGGTCTTCTTTGCCCTTCCCCAATCTTCATGACTTTGCACTTGGTGGGATTGAACTCCAGGAGCCAATTGCTGGACCAGGTCTGCAGCCTGTCCAGATCCCTTTGTAGTTCTGCCTGGTCTTCGATCGAGTGAATTCTTCTCATCAACTTCACGTCATCTGCAAACAGGGACACCTCGGAGTCTATTCCTTCTGTCATGTCATTCACAAATACCAGAAACAGCACTGGTCCTAGGACTGACCCCTGTGGGACCCCGCTGGTCACAGGTGCCCACTCTGACACCTCGCCACGTACCATGACTCGCTGCTGTCTTCCTGACAAGTATTCCCTGATCCATTGTAGTGCCTTCCCTGTTATCCCTGCTTGGTCCTCCAGTTTTTGCACCAATCTCTTGTGTGGAATTGTGTCAAACACCTTCTTGCAGTCCAAGAATATGCAATCCACCCACCCCTCTCTCTCTTGTCTTACTGCTGTCACCATGTCATAGAACTCCAGTAGGTTTGTGACACAGGATTTTACAACCCAGGATTCCAAATGGCCTGTTACCCCGGGTGTAATGGGAGCAAAATAAACACAGCAGAAAAAGTTTAGACTTATATTATCCTTCACCAATTTAGAACAGCAATATGTACACTATGTACAGTGATAAGTATAGTGCACTCCACGGTAAGCAAGGCAGAAATAGAAGCCACAAGATAGCAGACCGTGCTTCAACCAGCTCTAGAATGGAAATGACAAGGGCAGACAGGAGAGTGGTACCCACATAACCTCTGAGATTGCCAAAACCATCTTCTTATTGGCTAGAACCTGGTCACTAGTTGAACGACGGGGCCCCATCATCAACTCTTAGCAACCTCTTTCGCTGGTTGGGGGAGATAGCCTGTAAATGAGGGTGTGTACATGCGCCGAATAAAGGTTACGTACTCTTTGCATGCCACACAGGATTTCCCGTCCCTGAAACCATGTTGGGTGCTGTTGATGAGATCATTCCTTTCTAGGTGTTCCACCACTCTTCTCCTGATAATCTTCTCCATGATTTTGCATACTATACATGTCAGTGACACTGGTCTGTAGTTTAATGCTTCATGTCTGTCTCCTTTTTTAAAGATTGGGACTACATTTGCTGTCTTCCATGCCTCAGGCAATCTCCCTGTTTCAATAGATGTATTTAATATTGTTGTTAGGGGTACACATAGCGCCTCTGCTCCCTCTCTCAGTATCCATGGGGAGATGTTATCTGGCCCCATTGCCTTTGAGGTATCTAGCTCACTCAGAAGCCTCTTCACTTCTTCCTCGGTTGTGTGCACTGTGTCCAGCACATGGTGGTGTGCCCCACCTCTCCGTCTTTCTGGAGCCTTCTCTGTCTCCTCTGTGAACACTTCTTTGAATCTCTTGTTGAGTTCCTCACATACTTCACGGTCATTTCTTGTTGTCTCTCCTCCTTTTTTCCTTAGCCTGATTACCTGGTCCTTGAGTGTTGTTTTCCTCCTGATGTGGCTGTATAACAGTTTCGGGTCAGATTTGGCTTTCGCTGCTATGTCGTTTTCATATTGTCTTTGGGCCTCCCTTCTTATCTGTGCATAATCGTTTCTGGCTCTACGACTGCTCTCCTTATTCTCCTGGGTCCTTTGCCTTCTATATTTCTTCCATTCCCTAGCACACTTGATTTTTGCCTCCCTGCACCTTTGGGTGAACCATGGGCTCATCCTGGCTTTTTCATTATTCCTGTTACCCTTGGGTACAAACCTCTCCTCAGCCTCCTTGCATTTTTGTTGCTACATATTCCATCATCTTAATAACTGGCTTCCCTGTCAGTTCTCTGTCCCACTGAACCCTGTTCAGGAAGTTCCTCATTCCTGTGTAGTCCCTTTTCTTGTAGTTTGGCTTCATTCGTCCTGGCCTTCCTGCTTCTCCCTCCACTTGTAGCTCTACTGTGTATTCGAAGCTTAAAACCACATGGTCACTGGCCCCAAGGGGTCTTTCATATGTGATGTCCTCGATATCTGCACTACTCAAGGTGAATACTAAGTCCAGCCTTGCTGGTTCATCCTCTCCTCTCTCTCTTGTAGTGTCCCTTACGTGTTGGTACATGAAGTTTTTCAGTACCACCTCCATCATCTTAGCCCTCCATGTATCTTGGCCCCCATGCGGGTCCAAGTTCTCCCAATCGATCTCCTTGTGGTTGAAGTCACCCATGATCAGGAGCTTTGCCCTGCATGCATGAGCTCTTCTGGCCACTGTAGCCATTGTGTCAACCATCGCTCTATTGCTCTCGTCGTACTCTTGCCTTGGCCTCCTGCTGTTCTGTGGTGGGTTATACATCACTGCTATTACCACCTTGGGACCTCCAGAGTGAAGCGTTCCCGCTATGTAATCACTTTCTTCTCCGCTGTCTCCTCTCTCCAGCTCATCAAAATTCCAGCGATTTTTGATCAGCAATGCCACTCCTCCATCCCCCCTGTTCCCTCTGTCTTTCCTCAGGATTTGGTATCCCGTTGGAAAGATGGCATCTGTTATCATACCTGTGTGTGTGTGTGTGTGTGTGTGTGTGTGTGTGTGTGTGTGTGTGTGTGTGCAGGGGTCGAGTCACAGCTCCTGTGTGTGTATATAAAACAATCGGGGATAAAATAACGCAGTTCTGCTGTTTTTAAAAGTTTGTATTTTAAATGATACAACACCAAAATAAATTTGTGCTTGTAGACTGTTGTAGATGTTTCTATCTATCGTGGTGTTTCCATTTATTGTAGGTGTTTCTATCTATCCCAGTCTCTCAAAGTTAGATAGTCCGCCCAGGTCACACAGAAAACTACAAGAAGTCACTTCTCTCTTCAGATGAGTCACTGGTGTTTCGTTCCTTCCACTCACAGACGAACCCGGGTCCGCGACTGCTGGTCTCGTAATCAAGAAGGTACCGTCGGTGGTGGACCTGATCCACCGGTACCAGAATGGTGAACCGGTCTACATTGTCTTGGGTTGGTCTGCTGGGTGTCCATCTACGGGGAAGGAGAGAGTATCGTAATGCTTCCGTTATTTCATGTGAGTGATCAAGGCCGTAATAACACGCACACGTACAGACATATAGGTGAGTACACACGCCTACATAGACACCCATGCACACATGTACATGTACTGTTCCTGTGTAAGAAAAGTGTCAAGTCAGAGGAATACTGAAGAATGACGGAAGGAGAGGCGTGACCACTTATGACATTACCTGGGAAGTTCAAGTCTCCCTGGGAGGAAACTGTGGCATTATGCAAGAAAGTAAGAAAATAGGTTGTGAAACAGGTAAAAAGGGTTATACCGCAGAAGAAAGAGGCGGAAATCTGCGAAATGATATGAGAAAGGATGGAGACCAGAGAGAAACAGGGTGAACCTGTGTAAAAGAAATTAATTACACAATTTACAAAATATACACAAAATACCCATTTTCACACAAAAAAAACTTTCACTTTGAACCTAACATCTGTAACTCACCTGTGTAAACGGGTCGTTTAACAGCAACAAAAGGGTAACTTACATGTGAGACTTGAGGTCAACTAAGCTACCGTCAACCCAACGCCACCGCTTCCGTCCAACACGGTAACCTCCGACCCAGTAGATGTAACCAGCCTTGGTCTCCTCTGTGAGGGAGATAGTGGTGGTTAGTGCTTGTAGTGGAGGGCAGGTAGTGGTGGTGGAGGGAGATAGTGGTGGTTAGTGCTTGTAGTGGAGGGCAGGTAGTGGTGGAGGAGGGAGACAGTGGTGGTTAGTACTTGTAGTGGAGAGTAGGTAGTGGTGGAGGAGGGAGACAGTGGTGGTTAGTACTTGTAGTGGAGGGCACGAAGTGGTGGAGGAGGGAGATAGTGGTGGTTAGTGCTTGTAGTGGAGGGCAGGTAGTGGTGGTGGAGGGAGATAGTGGTGGTTAGTGCTTGTAGTGGAGGGCATGTAGTGGTGGTGGAGGGAGATAGTGGTGGTTAGTGCTTGTAGTGGAGGGCAGGTAGTGGTGGAGGAGGGAGATAGTGGTGGTTAGTACTTGTAGTGGAGGGCAGGTAGTGGTGGAGGAGGGAGATAGTGGTGGTTAGTACTTGTAGTGGAGAGTAGGTAGTGGTGGAGGAGGGAGATAGTGGTGGTTAGTGCTTGTAGTGGAGGGCAGGTAGTGGTGGAGGAGGGATAGTGGTGGTTAGTGCTTGTAGTGGAGGGCAGGTAGTGGTGGAGGAGGGAGATAGTGGTGGTTAGTGTTTGTAGTGGAGGGCAGGTAGTGGTGGAGGAGGGAGACAGTGGTGGTTAGTACTTGTAGTGGAGAGTAGGTAGTGGTGGAGGAGGGAGATAGTGGTGGTTAGTGCTTGTAGTGGAGGGCAGGTAGTGGTGGAGGAGGGATAGTGGTGGTTAGTACTTGTAGTGGAGGGCAGGTAGTGGTGGAGGAGGGAGATAGTGGTGGTTAGTGCTTGTAGTGGAGGGCAGGTAGTGGTGGAGGAGGGAGAGTAGTGGTGGTTAGTACTTGTAGTGGAGGGCAGGTAGTGGTGGTGGAGAGGGAGATAGAGGTGGTTAGTGCTTGTAGTGGAGGGCAGGTAGTGGTGGAGGGAGATAGTGGTGGTTAGTACTTGTAGTGGAGGGCAGGTAGTGGTGGTGGAGGGAGATAGTGGTGGTTAGTACTTGTAGTGGAGGGCAGGTAGTGGTGGAGGAGGGAGATAGTGGTGGTTAGTGCTTGTAGTGGAGGGCAGGTAGTGGTGGAGGAGGGAGATAGTGGTGGTTAGTGCTTGTAGTGGAGGGCAGGTAGTGGTGGAGGAGGGATAGTGGTGGTTAGTACTTGTAGTGGAGGGCAGGTAGTGGTGGAGGAGGGAGATAGTGGTGGTTAGTACTTGTAGTGGAGGGCAGGTAGTGGTGGAGGAGGGAGATAGTGGTGGTTAGTACTTGTAGTGGAGGGCAGAGTGTGAGGGAGGAGGAGGAGAGGATGAAGAGAGAGAGGAGAGAGAGAGAAGGAGAGAGAGAGAAGAGAGAGAGAGAGAGAGAGAGAGAGAGAGAGAGAGAGAGAGAGAGAGAGAGAGAGAGAGAGAGAGAGAGAGACTGTGACCGTCTTAAGGTCAACACATACATTCCTTCAACTAAACTGGTCTTTACATATCAACATTAACATTACCATCTTTCTAACATACGTGACTACATCCACATTCTTTCACCTGTATGTTTCTTAATTAATAATCATTATATATAGCGCTATATTAAGTAAATTACTTATGATAACGAGAGTAGTAGGGCCAGGGTTCTAAGAGATAATGATAATAATAATAATAATAATAATAATAATAATAATAATAATAATAATAATAATAGACTCAGAACACCTGGCAACCACCTGAAAGTGAAGAAAGTTGTGGTCAGGTCACCTGGTGGTGGTGTTAGTACAGGTCATACCTGGTAATACCGTGTCCAGGTAGCGTGAGAGGACTTGCAGTTTCTCGTGTGAGTCCAGGACCACCAGGTCACCGCCCACCTTGCGACACGACGACCGCGCCCCCGCCCACGACACGGGCGCCCCTTGGTTGTTCAGCTGGTACGACACCACCACGTGTAAACACGACTCATCCACCTGCTGCACGAACGGCGCACGACAGCCTGTAGGAGAGTGCAGGCTCAGCTACTGCAGGATGACGTGTTGAAGCTTAGTGGACTGTGTTAAATGTGACACCAGTCTGTCTACATCCTGCCACCACAGATGTGACACCAGTCTATCTACATCCTGCCACCACAGATGTGACACCAGTCTGTCTACATCCTGCCACCACAGATGTGACACCAGTCTGTCTACATCCTGCCACCACAGATGTGACACCAGTCTGTCTACTTCCTGCCACCACAGATGTGACACCAGTCTATCTACATCCTGCCACCACAGATGTGACACCAGTCTGTCTACATCCTGCCACCACAGATGTGACACCAGTCTATCTACATCCTGCCACCACAGATGTGACACCAGTCTGTCTACTTCCTGCCACCACAGATGTGACACCAGTCTGTCTACATCCTGCCACCACAGACGTAACACCGGTTTTAGCTGTGTCGTCTGTGAGGCTAGTTTACTGTGCACTGTCAGTACTTCCTGTGAGGATCAGTGCAAAACACAGTATTACAGAGATCACAGACCTCACTGAGCATTCTTACATTACAAATAAACACATCACAATCAAACTCGCGGTGAGTGCATCATAAAACTCACTCACCGATTGTTTACAATCGTGTCATTTCGTGAGTCATATCAATCATTTCAAATATTACACTCACCTCACATATTTTATTTAGCCAATACAACACAGAGACACAATCTAAGAAAAACATTTATCTCATTACCACTAAAACATTAGTCAGTGGATTGCAATGTTCACAAAAACAATTTACTCTTCTGGTCGTCACAAACTATGGCTACAATTTAAATATTTCATATATCTTATTATTAACATTGAAATATTTTGTTATATCCTGTAAGGCTTGTGTGAAGGTGTCTGTTGGGCTGGATGTCTCCAGGAAATCGTAGTGACACGATTGTAAACAAACCAGGGTACGGGGAGGGATTGAACTCGTGGCTAGTGAGTCGTAAAACCCCAGTCGTAAAACCACTGAGCCAGCTGGCTACAATGTAATTCATCTAATTAGGTATATTTATACACTATAGGAAAGTTAGCATAGGCACCACTGTGACCACAAATGCGAGTTCAGTGCTCCAGTATATGGCCCTGTGTCTGTCCACACACCAGTGTATGGCCCTATGTCTGTCCACACACCAGTATATGGCCCTGTCTCTGTCCACACATCAGTGTGTGGCTCTCTGTCTCTGTCTACGCACCAGTGTGTGGACCTGTCTCAGCCCACACACCAGTGTGTGGCCCTGTCTCTGTCTACACACCTGTGTGTGGCCGTATCTCTGTCCACACACCAGTGTGTGGCACTGTCTGTCCACACACCAGTGTGTGGCACTGTCTCTGTCCACACACCAGTGTGTGGCACTGTCTCTGTCCACACACCAGTGTGTGGCACTGTCTCTGTCCACACACATTGTATTTCATGTCATTAACATCTCCATACCAACCAAACTGCCAGAGATATTTAAAGCCTTAGTCTAACAGTAAGAACAGTGCTGCCAGAGATACCAGTAAGACAGTCTCGGACCTTAATGTGACACCTGTCTATCTATTTGCCGCCATCACAGATGTGACACTACTTCCTTGCTGCCATCACACATGTGCCACCACATACCTGTTGCCATCACACATATAACACCACATACCTGCTGCCATCACACATGTGACACCACATACCTGCTGCCATCACACATGTGACACCACATACCTGCTGCTATCACACATGTGACCACCACATACCTGCTGCCATCACAGATGAGACGAGGGCCACGCTGACCACCACCATCACTGGCAGAGATGCCATCCTCTCCCACATCTGCTGAACAGATGCACTCAGACACATGATGCTACAGATGCCGCAGACACACAAGACACACAGATGTTGTCACTGTGGGTAGCCAACACCTGAGTGAACACTTCTGACAAAAGCACACACATATTTATACCCAGGTTCTCATTTTTTTTAGGGGGTAGCAATTCTGTAGTTTCTCTCAGTGTTTCGTTCAACTTATCTTAACCCAAAGTCCTGATTTTTTTTTAATCTGTGTG